GATTACCGTATTTGGGAATCCGATCCTAAATATAATACTAAAAATATATACTTCAATGATTTCTACTGTGTTAACACTACGTAAACTAATATAATCTGCTTCTTCTTTCCAATCAAATGACGATATTATTAATCTACAGTTCTGACGTTTTCGTGCATTTTCTTATTCTTATGTAATGCGAAATAATTAGATTGAAAAAAATAAGATTTTGTACGAGACTGAAAGCTTCTATGTCACGTTAAGCTTTTTTAACTATAGTTTCAATATGCATATCAAAGTCTGTTCAATGCTGCCAATATTAATAAAGTAATTGAAGTATTAAGTATGTTCTTTATACTTTCAAAAAGAAGAGGTTGTATTATTTCTACACGTAATGATGATGATTGTCATTGTGGTGACGGATTAATACGGAGTGTCACCCCCTCCTCCCCCTATTCATCCCGTGGTTGTCATAACAGTCGTCTAAGTGAGCGAACTACGTAGGACAACAGCACTGCAAAGAGAAAGAAAACTTGAAACAAACCCTCCACCGACCCGTTTGACCAGTGTGGTACAGTAGACCAAAATCTCCTTTCTAAAGAGAGGCCCATGTTTAGCAGCAGACTGTCAAAGCACTGTTAAAAAGACGATGATGATATGATTGATGATAATGATGATGTAATGAAGTCTGACTAATTAATAATTTAGAAATCAGAAGACAGATACTTTTGAAGGTTTAATAGATCCGTACATCATCTGCATTCATATATTTTTACCAGTATTATTTTTATTATTAACTAGCTGACTCCCAAACGGAATACATTTTCACCGTTTTTGCTATATTTTTCATTGATGCACGATGCACAGCTCCTATTGGTCATAGCGTGGTGTTATATTTATAACCTATATCCTTTCTCAATAAATGGGCTATATAACACTAAAACAATTTTTTCATTCGAATCAGTAGTTGCTGAAATACCAAACAAACAAATCTTTATGATATTAATATATTGTAGATAACGAAAATTGTCGCTTTGAAACCCTTATTCAATAATGTTCTTTAATTTGAAGAAATCCGAGTTTACCATAACGACGACGACATCGAATATTTGATATGAAGGAAAATTTTGTATGGAAAAATAAAATTGTTGTTGTAACTATTTTCTTTGTATTTTTCTATATTTTCTCACCATTTAAAACCAAAATTAGGTAAATTCGTCGAGTTTTAGTAAGACTAATGAAAGGCAATTCATGTTTATATATATAAGAGATAAGAAGTTGACTTAATACAGTTCCTGGAAAACCATTTTTTGAGTTATAATTGAAATTTCATAGGATAAGACAAATGTTTTAATTTAAATCAATTTTTATTGCCAGCTTTCACTTGACATAACTATGTCTGTCCAGCATAATTAATAAAATGAATGTGTGGATTCAGTAAAATGTGTGAATTTAAATAGTTTAAAGAAGGTAGCTACGATCAAAGTAGGATAATGCCTATATAAACACGATTGTTAAACATAAAACGTAAATATAAGATTAGCTGTTATTGAAATAAAGAGAATGAAGTTTCAGAAAGGAGTAGAAGCAAACATAAAATTAATTAAATACATCCATCGCGCCCTTAGAAGCAGTTTCCGTTACATCACACACATGCTAGTTACTAATTAAAATACAGTTACATGGTATCGAAACTTTTTATTCAATCTGTCTAATCACTCATCTCAACACCACCAAGGTAGACTGGCAGAGAATGCCTACGGCATTAAGTACACCTTTGTACTTACATACTTTTTTGTGCATAAAGTATTAAATAAGCTAAAAAATCAAATATGTACATCTTAACGACATCACTTCTTCACCTAACGGAGATTATGCCCGAATATAGCTCTCGGACCGTTAACTTGACTTCAAGTTCTTCCTTTCGAAAGTACGTGAGTATTTCCAGGTCGCCGTTTTCTTTAGCCGGTATTCAGCGTCGAGAAATATTATTTTTCTTCAGGGTGGATGTCGTTAACGAGTATTTACGAGGACACGAGCGTCTCTACCTGACGGCGGTGCCTTCCGCCGGATCGACCGTAATTGTGCCCAATTAGAACATTATGCTGACGTGAATACGGTGCGGACGCGTTAATGGCGATACTATCTGTTCTCCCATGTCGCCTGCGCCGACGTTCAACCTCCCCCTGAAATGCTTTTCTTTGCCCTAATTCACATTCCTATCTCATTGCTTTCATCGTTCACTTTATTTCTTACTTACTACGTGAAACGCTCACGTAACTTTCACTCGATTAACCAACGAGACTTCCTTATGAATTCACAGACAGTTTTCATTACATTTAGGTGGTGCTGAGACAAATCTTTACGACACCGCTATTCTTAATGCAAGACTTCCTAGGTTTTATTCATTCATAACTCTTCGCAAATAATATAATGCATGCACTAACATCGTAACAGTGTGTTAGTGCAGTGGTCAGGATACGGGACTGTCGCCAAGATGTGTGTGATATGAATCATGTGCTACTTTATTTATGTAAGAAACATAAAGACAAAGTTTCAGCCAATGGGCACATTTCTCATTCTAACTTGTGCGTGCTTTAACTACGTACCTGTGCGTGCGTGGTACGTAGTTTTTTCTCTATTGTTAGAATTTATAAATAAAATACCTAAGTTCAGTAATAATTTTGCTAACATTTATGTCCCTACACCTAAATTGATAAAGTTGTTAAACGGAATGATAAGCTCAAAGTACTTTAACCATTTCTTACTAACCTAGTAAGTAGCGTTAAGTAGTGTATTTTACTTATATACTCCTAATATCTTAGAAAGTTTAGTACTTCATAACTTTGATACTTCTATAACTATTCGGACTGCAATTGATTTGTGATTAATTGTTAAAGAAAATACTATAGGGATCTCTTTTTACACAGCCTGACCTCACCACACACCACTACTACAATTTTCAAAGTAACCTATACTAATGTTATAAAGCTGAAGAGTTTGTTTGTTTGGTTGAACGCACTAATCTCAGGAACCACCGGTTTGAATTGAAAAAATATTTTATTGTTGGATAGACATTTATCGAGGAAGACTAGGAGCTATATAATTTCACACTACAACCAATAGAAGCCAAACATCAGTAAAAAATGTTGCTAAAACGGGGAAAATTTATTCCCTTTGGGATGATGAAGTTGCGTGGGTCAGGTAGTATAATATAATTGATAATAAAACACTCAGAAAAACTTTCCTGTGAATGAATAAAATATATTTGAAAATCGTTTTTATTTTATCTTGTTTGTTTTGTCATTGATAATTATTTTTATTGATAGCTTTATTATTTATATTAGAATATTTGAGTGAGAAGTCATATTTAATATATGCTGATATATGGATCAGGATGTATAATTTATTGTTTGATATTTGTCTTTCATGTGATAATCAATGTTTCGGAACAAAGCCATAAAGTTTTATAGATCTCATTTTATAAGCTGTTACAATCCTTTGCCATTTTTAACATAAAAAGATCGTAAACATGACTTGAAGATGCAAATTAAAAATTCCCAAGCATACGAGGAACAGTGCTCTGTGTTTGCCTTCTATACACAGATACCTTTTGTCCCTTGATAAACACATAAATATTAAAATTATCTTCAATAAACGATTGATATTATAAAACTATTTATAAAAATCTATTGAAGCTCCTTCAATCTTAAATGATTAAATAGTTTAGTTAGACTGCCTCTATGGTGCAGTGGTAGCGTATGCGACTACTGTGCTGAGGTCTCGAATTAGATTGCCGAGTCAGACCAAATGTTTGTATGATCTTCAAATATTTGTATATAAATAAATAATATAAATATTATTTAAGTCAATCTAACTTTCATTCAACAAGCTCTGCTTAGTTTGAAACTAAATGGCGTTGTGTGTCAGTTGTCCGAAATATTTATCTATTATTTATTTATCTAAAAGCGACTGAAATATTAAAGTACTAAAATACGTTGCACACGAATTCAGGTTTATGGTGCCTTAAACAAGCATCTTTACTGAGAATATGTTTAGGATTCACAAGGGAAACTAGTTACGACACTGCTCTAAAGAGATAGGTTGTAATCCAGCAACTGCAAGTAAGTACTTCAATAGGTACTGTTAGCCTTGTATTTAATACATTATTTTTTAATCCACGGCAATTTATCTTAGATTTACCCGAATAAACATAACGAAAACGTATTCAATGAAGTTGGATACAATTGATTTATACTAGACCAACCATTCTTATATACTTGCGTTATTAATTCTCTGCCGTTTCTATTTGTTCGGTTTAGATCGTGCTCAGAGAGTATAGAAAAACTAAGCAATTCCCTTCAATATATGGCAGTTAATTTCAGATAATTTTAGTTTTCATTGTATTTGTTGCATCCTTTGTTAATAGTACTTAATGAAAGAAATTTATTTCTGTTTTCAGTAATTAGACGAAGTTATTCTTATATTGAGTGAATGATCATCAGATTTTTTTAATTTTATTAAACACTATTTTTGCCCTCGACTCCGCCCGTGTGTACGTTTGTTACCGCGGTAAAAAGAAGTCTATATCATTCAGGGATAATATACCTTTCTATCAGTAAAATAATTTAAAATCGGATCAGTAGTACCGGAGATTACCCCGAACATACAAACTCACAAACTTTACCTCTTTATAATATTAGTATAGATAAAGCTCACCATACTCGTACATATGTAGGTATGCTTTTAAATTAAAGGTGATCAAGATAAATAATTTAAGATAATAAATATGATTCAACCCTTTCTACACATAATACACAGGTATGTTATTAAACTTGATATGTTCATTTTTTACTTAAAAGAAATAAAGATATTGTGTAATTTTTATTTATTCTTTATTTTACTCAGTGATTTGCATTGTTTCAAGAATATAATGTAAAATTTACAGTTAAAGGTACATTACAGTTTCTGATATTTAACCCTGATATAAATGGGTTTTTAAAAAATATTATTTGTTATAGTTCCACCAATGCTGTCTATTCCAAACCAATTGGAAGCTGCTTACATTGGACAGGATGTGACTTTGGAATGTCATACAGAAGCATACCCCTCGTCAATCAACTATTGGACCACGGACCGAGGCGACATGATTATATCAGGTATTATTTAGTTACATAAAAATAATTAAATAGCTATTTTGAATGTCGCGTACCATGTTATATATTACGTGATCGCGGATTCCCCTCATTTAGGGGGAAGTCCCGTAGCGCCGGACGGCACCTAGCGCCGGACACTCATACTATTTTGACAAACGTCAACGCGATCTATTTATAAATCGGTGAAAGGGGTGCGGGGGAACGTAGCGAGACAGGATCACGCAACGCGATTTGCCAGTGAGACGCACAGTCGTGGTGGAAGCGGTGAATTGCTGTTTTTGGTGGGAAAGCGTTGCGTCACGTAAATTTCAAGTAAGTATTACTGCTATGGTTTTATCCTTAATTGTTTTTGTTATTTGTCAATAAAGACAGTGTTTCACTATAATTATTATATTGTGAAAGTTTTTATTAAATACCTAAACAGTTTTAGTATGAAATACGTAATTTTGGACGTTTCCTGTCCCCTACTTTCGGACACAAAGGTGTCCCTTACCACCGGACAGTTTATAGGTTAGCTTTTTTATGAAGCATTTGTACTTATTGTAATGATGATTGTTTGTTGTTTTACAGGATAGAAGGAGAGAGATATTTGAAAATGCAAGAGAGAAAAAAAAAAGGAAAATGGGATCAGCAAAATTTAAAAACTGCGATGAACAAGATTTTGTCCAAAAAATGAGTTTGAGGGCAGCTTCGTCACGTTACAATGTTCCAAAAAGTACTCTACATGATAAAATAACGACATTGAGCAGTGGAAAAGAAGTCACGTTGCAACCAAAAGTTGGTAGATTCACAAAAACCTTCTCACCCGAGTATGAGCAAGTTTTAGTGGACCACATAAGAGATTTGTCTAATAGATGTCTGCCCCTGATGAAAAACGAGTTTTTGAAGTTAGCTTACGACTTGGCTGAAGCTATGAAGATTCCCCATGAGTAAACAAACCAAACGTGGCAATAACGACTACAGAAAGGAGCCGTTAACTGAAGTATCAAATATAGAAAAAACGACTTGTGTAGTGTGTTTAGAAGACCACGACGAGGACTGGATACAATGCTCCAGATGCCAATAATAGGCTCATGAAGCATGTGCAGACGTTCCAGAATGTGGAGATGCCTACATATGTGATAGACGCTAAAAGTTTTAGAATGTCCGGCGCTTGGGGTTTGAAGATTAACCCGTCCGGCACTAGGTGCCAATGTCAAAGTCCTTTATTTTTTTACCAAAACTTATTTAACATTCCTAAACTATGTTTACGCAGAATTTGTATTTTTGTTATTAGATTTTGATTTTATGTTTTGTTAATTTAAGTAATTCATAAATAAATACATATTTCTCGATGTAGTTTTAATTTTATTTCCTGAAAACCTTATGTGTCCGGCACTAGGGGACTTCCCCCTACACACAATCGTTTTCTGTAATTTCTGTGATAACTGACTTTATTGTAAGTAACCTGACAGAGCGTAGCCCTACGTAACTTCTGCATTATTAGGCTACCTGTTACTTGTGTTGGTAAATTGCATGATATTTATGAAATAAAATTTACAGCAAAGCTTCTATAAAATTCAAGTTCAAAACTCGCAACAATAAAATGTTTTTTGTCCTTTGATAATTTTGCACAAAATAGTCTGGCATTGAAAAATTACTTCAGTGATGTATGCTTCCAATCTAGCTGTTAATTAAGTCCCAGGGGCCTTGAAACCTGAATGGGCTGCCTGCCAGTTGACCTGTCATGGAGCGAAAGAATGAATTAGGTTCAATACATCAAAGCTTTTATACAGTACAAACATAATAAGAATTCTAACTTAAATATAGCCCTATATTTCATAAATATGATTTCCTTGAAAGTGATTTACTGCGTAATTAATAATTTATTAAGACCGCCTTTCAGGACGACCATTTAATTTAATTATTAATACCTACATTTATCTGCCAACAGGAAATAAATACATCACTTCTCTGAGCGACGACAGCTATACTCGGAAAATGAAATTGACTATACGAAGAGTGTCTTCAAGAGATTTTTCGTCGTACCGCTGCGTCGCCAAGAACTCTCTCGGCGAGACAGATGGGCTTATCCGACTTGACGGTATACCAGATTATTCATATCCTATCATATCATATATTAAGTAATCTAGTGTGACAAAATTATTTGAATATAGAATTTTGTTCAAGTTACGGAAAATTTGATAGTGCACTTGATTTTTATTCGTATTGCCTTTAAATCTGACTTTAAACTGATCATAACTGTAACAGATGAAAACTAAAAACATAGATGATTTATATTATTATGAGTGCTTAAGCTAAGCAAATTATATCTATGAACAGGAAATGAAACTAGCACACATCCAGTTTTCTCATTATAAATATTGCATTTAGTTACTAATGATTCGCGTTACAGAAATTCCCGCTCCCTCGACTACAAGCACCACTGACAATTACGTGCCCACTTATCCTCAAAAGAAGAAAGGTAAGTCTTCACCTAACTATCGCATTAACTGTCAAGACAACCTCTTACGTTTAAATTAGCCCAAAAATTATTAATGTTCTAGTGGGTTAAAATTTTCAAATAAAACCCTTTCAAGAGTGATCAGTTCGGCAATTTGGCTGTTAATTATTTATGACGCTCAGTGTTAAGCTCTGATTAGAAATTGGGAATGTCTGTTTTAGCACCTTATCATCAATAAAACTATCAGTTGTGCAAAGTTAAATGTGACCTACTGCCTGCCGAATTTACCTCACAGGAGTTTCAATGCTAGATTTTGTATTTATTGGTTTCACCGCCACAGCCCAATGCTTCCATACAATGGGATCGTTAGTAATATTATTGTGGTAAAAGCGATTTTGTTTGCGCGTTGACTTCTAATGTACCTTCTTATTGTTATAGATTGTGGGTTTCCTTTTATACTCTTTATAGAGTCCCATGTTTAGTTTACACTGGAAAGCCCATTTTCATAGCCTCTTAGCAGTGTAAGAAAAGTTTATGACGCAATATTTCTTTTCCGGTGCTTTTACACTCTTAGTGTATTTCTATTACACTTTGCTTATTTCTGTCAGGTAAACATAAAAATCGTTGGCGGGATAGCTCTGCCGAGAATAGAGTCATAGGAGATTACGAGGTGGAAGAATGGAAAGATGTCGGTAAGTAGTGTACAGCTACGTTAATTACAACTTTGAAAGCCTTTTAGTGTTTTGCTGCAGCTTGGCCAATTATAATAAAATGAGACTTAATTATTGACCTAGAATAAGGAAAATACTAAGTGCGTCTTCTTTTTCAAGTTTACAAATAAAAATAATGAAGACATAAGTTTATCCTTTCATTACTTTACTATTATAAACAACTTTCTGTTGGTATTTAATTATACTTTTAAGGATTTCATTAAATAAAGACATTTGAGTAAAGGTTATCTTTTGCGAGTATTGTGTCAGATACACGTAAATAATAGGTAATATTTCTCAATAAACAATAGTCATTTTGTGTTCATAGACGTCACAATAAGGTGTAGGTACGAGTATAGTGCGATAACCATCTTTAAGCACATTACTAGTCCTATTTTTGAAAATGGCAATGTTGTTTCCAATTACACCAGTCTTCTGCTATTTCAAAATAGGAGAAATAATAACGTTTTTCTTCCTTTTGTATGAATAGACTGGTTTTTAACATTAAATAAAATTTGTAAGTATATCTCGCTATGTCCAGTCGAAAGTAACTTATTCATGAAAGTAGGTAGTTTTTTAAATGAAAAGCATTAGATTACACTGATCCTCTATCAATATCAGTATATGGCCAAAGGTATCTTGGCACATAAATAAAGGAATGGAGAGACAGACAGTCAATTATCAATCAATGATTCGCTGTGTAATCACATTTATATTTTTTTACGCACTACCTTTTTAAAACAGGATAATCTTTGTTTAGATTATGAGTCGACTCAGTCTTCCCGGTCGCCGTCCAGTCGTGGAGCTCTATTCATCATCCTCGGAGGTTTGATCATCGCCAGCTGACAAACACTCACCTTCTGCATCAATGTCATATCATAGTGCCAATCAGACAATTGTAAAAGATATACAATAAACATAGCAGTGAGAACTATTAGAATAGGAGCTATAGCACTCGTTACACTGCGAAATTAGAATTGCAGTATTGCAGCGATTATTTAATATTGTTTAAAATGTATTACATCGAAATTTCTTTTATTGTATTATTTGTGCAAAAAAAAAATATTTTTATGAAATCGTAATTGATGTCTATGAAATAGAATTGTAAATATTTTTCGATGTTAAAAAAGACTGATAGGATTTTACGATAAATGTGCCATATCTAATCCCATAAAAATCGCTTAGCTTTAAGAATCATATGCCGTGAAATAAAATTATATTAAAAATGGCAATATTATAAGACACATTTTTGATTACACCCGTTATTCGCGTTTAGAGTTCTTTATTTGAATAAAGTAAATGAAAAAAAAATATGGCCATTGAATGTACGGCGAAGACAGCAGTTTGAACTGCTTAAGTACATGCCTATATAAAGATAAGCACGATATAGTTCTCACATGGCGTGTTGCGTCTACAATTGCCAGTATTAAGATATTATCGTACCACTCACTCGTTAAACAACTACTCACTTACCAGTCAAATGGTCATCAGTGACTTCGAATAAATTATGATTACATATCAATATTGTTTAATATTCTAAAAAGTAATATGCATAAGCAACTGTGACATGTTTTATTGAGTCAATTATGGTTACGTAAGACATTTTTTTCGTTGTTTAATCCTACTTAGAGGTTTTTATGAAGCTTCAATGACGTTTCTTGTTGATTTTAATTCCTGCCTGAGTAAAACTTCTCTATGTGTTAACCGTTAAGTAGATACATTCTCTCAGATGTTATAAATGATTTTGCCAAATCAAATAATTACCGATATTTATAATATTTTTTATATTGTTAAATGTAGAAAGTAAAGTTTATTATTAAGTTGGTAAGTTTTATTAAGTATAGTTCGGCATATATGTCTACTAAAAATAACGATAGTCAATTCTCACAGGTTAATGCAATCATCATTAAAATCCCTAAGTTATTAAATTTTTTCTTTTTCTTCAAATTATGATCTATTCTGCATGGAATTATGTAGATGTTAATTTTATTAGCAGTTGAGATAATATCGCAAATAATGACTATTGCGAATCCTAAAATCTAAGTTTGTAAGTAATTATCTTGACGAAAGCAAGGAAAAATTCTCACGCAAAAGATTCCCTTGTCGAGCTAAAACTGCTGCTGTCTAGATGCAGAATGAAATGGAGTTAAACTGTAATTAATGTATTTAATTTGTCCATTTAAAGATTGACAGTAAATTTTAGCATTAGCAATTAATTACAAGAGGCTGGTAAAACTGAAAGCTTTTTATGAACCCACCTACCATTTTTGTAAAATACAATTAATCCTTTTAATAAAATAACAATCACGTTCACAGGTATCCTTTATTGACCTATAAACATTTCGTTATTTCATGTTTTTATAATATTTTAATTAAATAATTTTTACACTGCCAGAATTGTTGACTTCATTGTTTATCTTTTTTTTTAATTGAATTGGATTTCGGAATTTTTATGATGATATGTCATTGTTCGAGAGTTCAAAAAAGTTATGACTGAACATGAATAAATCATTTACTGATTTTTATATTTAGCTTCAGTGGGAATCCAATATTTGGTTTGCTGATCTTAGGTAGGTACACGCATGTGCTACCAAAACGTAATAGTCGCTTACATTCACATAGTTTCCGGTCACGTCCATTCACTTCAACAATAAATAGTTTATTGTGTTTGTTGTTTATAACTTCCACAAGTCGAGGTAAACATATCACTATTCAAATCTGACTCTGACATGATCACACAACATTAATTGTAAACTTTTATTGTAACAAGCCGCAACCAATAATTATTCAATTATGGCTTAGAAGAAATTGTAGTGATATATTTCGAATACCGAAAAATGGTCTTGATGTGCAATAGTGTACATTATTAACAAAGTGGTTGATCTTCTTAAAATATTTGAAGGTTTGTATGTTTGTAACAGTCCAACATATTTATTTTAGATGCTCTTAGAGACATCAATTTAATAAAGAGTTTTCAAATATTGCCATTTCTCTATAAGCATTTTCTGCAATGAAGTAGTAGTACTAGTAAAGTACAGTTAAGTACATCTCGGAGGATTGCTCTGCTTCTGTCTTTTAACCCCTGTCTACTTGACATCCACAAGGGTTAAAAGGTATGAATGTCTAATTTTAAAAGGATTATGCCTCTATTAATTTAAATTTAAATGTTTAAAGCATAGACCTCCGTTTGTAGATTAGGATTAAGAGCCTGTCTTTATGATACCATTCAAGCTCCATTTCTGTACCTATTATTGTGTGTTATGTCTAAATTAATTATACAATTTGTACTAAAAATAATTATTTGTCATTATCATTAATATACATTGTAAATATTAGAAATATGCAAAGTTACACATTTCGTTCCCTGACTATGAATAAATGTTTGTAAATAAATTCATTACTTCTGCATTAAAGACAATATGGCGTGGTTTGTAATGTAAATAAATAGCTGTACAATATTCTCCAAGCTTGCGTTATATATAGAAACCTTAATTATTTGTTAAATCCATTTCCATGATTGTTATATTGATACTGGGTTACAATATTTTTAAGATGCCTCGTCACAGTTTGTAGAACAAGGCGGCACCTTACCTACCTTAGCTCTCTACCGTTTAATATATTCCCGTTGATTTGTCTCTACTACGATATGTAACAAAGACAAATCAACGGGCACATCTCGTTTGTATAATTTATAGATATATAAATTATAAAGTCTACATATCTTGGAAATGATATATTTCCGCGTTGAAAACTTTGTATAGTGATCGTTGCAGTTAGCTGTTTATGTAAAGTTAAAAATAAATGAAATTTCTTACATTCCCCGTCTATGATTTTTCCCTTATCATTAAAACAAACCTCTCAAACATTTACATAAAAGAAAAAGGCTTTTACTTCGTACCTTTACAATCTACAAAGGTTTGAAGGTAACAAAAAAAAATTACCAGACCCATATTAAACTAAGGGTTGCAGTTCAGTTCTAATATATTTTACGTATTTTGTTGTCAACATTACATGTAGAAATAATTATAGTGGTAGAAACACCAACAAATATTTTTGTAGAATAAGGAAATAAGAAAAAACAAATACACAGAACAAACACAACACTCCAAGCTAAGAAAAAGACCTTTGGGATAGTTATAACAATTTTATAAAACAATATTTATAATTTTTGTTTATTAGCAGTTAGTAAAATTTTCTTAAATTACTCTTAGATTATTTTTTTTATGTGATAGGGGGGGCAGACGAGCAGTCGGGTCACCTGATGGAATGTGACTATCGCCGCCCATGAACGTCTGCAACTCAGGAGTCATACAACACTATACACAGCTCTATGAAGTTATTTATTTAAAATTAAGCCAAGCACAACAAAGTCCTGAAGATTTTTTGTACACAAACATATCATAACAGTCCTAGCATAGTAATGCCACTTGAAAATTAATTACTTGCCAACCTCAAAGTACATAAATGGTCTAATGGAAATTAGTTACCGAAACACTAACAGCTCTAAATTACACAAACCGCCTTATCATATTAGAAGCCCTCAAGCCATATTACGCACAGTCTGGTGTAACATAACTCAGCAGTAACACGTGTGATAATCACACTGTTATCTCAACACAACAAAATGTTACAAGTAAACGAACAGCGGAGCTCTATTGTTTACAAAATTATTATGGGACTCCCAGTCGGGTTTATTTTGCATAAAATAATGGGCGCGGAAGCACCTGGGCAACAAGGCGCCCCGCGGTCTGCACAGACACTTTAATGCACTTACTGCCAAGAGTCACAGGGAACTGACGAGCATGAATTTAGCTTTACTGGCTTTAAAATTGTAGGTGCTACGGACGCTGTTTCTATTCAAAACTTCGTCGTCTGACGTACAGATGAACTCATGCCTCGTTTACTCTTATATACCCGGATTTGTGTACGGTCGTTTACTGGTACTCAATGGAGTCAAAGCAAGTATTTTCTGTAACTTATTAATTTATACTCGCACTCCATTTTAAAGTGATGTGGTCGCCTAATAGTATATTAGAAGCATTGCAGATTATGACAGTCTAAAAGATTTTGTCTGTTGCATTTGTAGCATAACCCCTTAAGACAGGCTTTATTTTATAAATATGGCTTTAAGTTATTAGTTCTAGAGTATTTTTAGGCAAAATAGTGCTGAGTGCATCAAAAATACTTTTGCACAGGGTATTTCAGAGAGGACTCCTAATTTGGAGAAATTTAATGATTTGTTTAGTTCAAACAGGCATAATTAAAACCAGAAACTGAATATACTACAAGTCTTTAAAAGACAGACACCAGGAAGTTGGTTTTTCGTATTTATACGAGATTATGATCTCATTATTAGAAAACCTTCGTTAACCGAACCAAAGTTATATGTAGCTAAGTTTTGTCTTCCTCACTTTTCAACAAGATAACGAGTTAGACAGACTAAAATTCCAATCCAGAAAACAAAAGTTTGCAATAGAGATGCGTAGAGTATTTGAGCTATCCACCTCATGGGCCTTATCCAGCTGAGCATGTTTAACGTATGTTTCAGCTCGGTAATAAATCGAATTGAAGTAGCAATGTATCAGTTTCTGGGGATTGAAAATCGTCATGCTGGCCCTCAATGAGATTCTAACACCTGTGTATCAAGAAGATTTTTTAATGCCGGTGAATGGCAACACAGGTGGTAGTATGGTAGTATAGTTATGGTTCTATACTTTCTTACAATGTACTTTTTAGTCCTAAATTTACTTAGTACTTTACAAAATTCTGTTTGTGGTAAAAATATGTTTCTAGTTGTTTACTAAAAATCGAATTGAAAACATCTTATAAACAAAATAGGTCACACT